GGGTATGAGAAATGAAAACCAGCATTTATGGGAAGGACTATCCCCTCTCTGAGTAGATGGGCTCTTCTTCCCCAAAATGCCTGCCGCCTTCATGGAACTTATCTTCTTGGAGAGCAGAAGAAAACACTGTCCTGACTTGCCTGTATCCTAAGCTCATGATCTGTGGCTGATCTCAGGTTTACTGGCCTGTTCACGCCAGCCAGCCAGGGTGCTAGAAATACTGATATTGCAAACATGTTAAGATGCAATTCTCTTCCACTGGGCTTAAGTTATCCCCTGCTTGGGAAAAGCAAACAAAGGAAGTCCAAAATGCATGATGGGAGAGGAAGCAGAAGAAGAAACCTCAGCTTGTCCTGGGTCAGAGGCTTTTCCCAAGGCAACACAAGCCATGAAGCAGATTGACTGAACACCTCCCTGGCTGTCCTGAAGCTGAGGATGACTGCAGGCCAATACACACACAAAGGTTTCCTGCTGGCAGTTAAGTGTCCAAATGCACTCCTGGCAGTGTGGATCCCTAGGGTGTTATACAGCAAATACCTCCTTTGTAGATAGGGGATAACTGGGAAGGCAAGTCCACATGAGATGCTTGGTACCTGACAGGCCATATGTCCACCACTGAAGCACAGTACAGAGAGAGGAGCCTTGGATGGGGCATGGGGCTGGGAAAAGAGGGATGAAACCAGTTTCTCAACTCCTTCCAGCAGCACTGGGAACCTTAACATCAATGTGCCATTTCTGTCTTTTCCTCTGTAGGTAAAAACTGAGGGCACGATGTAACACCCATTCCTCAGCCAGCCTAGCTGATGTCTAGGGAGTGCTTACAATGGCAGTGACAGAGGCTGCTTAATTGCATTTCTTGTAATGCACAAGGAGCTAAACTGGAATCCATTTCTCCAGGGACAGAGAAGTTGAAGGAAAAGAAAAACTCTTCTGTTTCCATAATGTCTTTCTCTAGCCCAGATCACTCTGGAAAAAAAACTGGTTTGCCTGCTCCATCCCCATGTCTGAGTATACTCAAAATGCAGAGGAGGCAGTCAGCATGGTCACCTTCCATAAATCTGGGAGAGAAATGGGGAGATCAAATGAGCAATCTCAGCTGCCTGCTAACTCCATTGCTAAACCCAGCAGGGCAGCTGGAGCCCAGGGAGACACAGCAGGGCTCCGAAAAATTCAAAGGGAAGGGACAAAAGGGGGTAGGGCTTGCTATTTCTGACAGAAAGCCACCCTCCTACTCTGATGGAAGAGTCTTGGCAGGGAGCTAGAGCAGGGAAAATGAGATGATACAGCATTTAGTGTTTGGGGTAATGAGGCCTATAATAGATGACACTTGAGATGTGAAATGCTAAGGTAGTGGTATTGCATTTAAATATTGGCAACAAGCTAAAGCTTTTCATCTGTCCAATGTCCTTTTTTTTGATCTTAAAAAGACAAATAAGTTTTCCTTCCTTGATTTTATGTGAAGGGCACAAGTCAACTGCTTTTCTCTTGGACAACGACTCCTTGAAAACAAAAGTTGCTCCAATCCATGTTCTACTACCCATACAAATCAATGTGCAGAAGCAAATTCTTAGAATGATATTAAAAAAGAAGCTGCTCTCAATGACCAGCCCTGACAGGAGAAATTAGTTCCCTGCTTTTGTTAAGCTCACAATTCAGATTTCAAACTTCTCCATGCAGAGATGAGGAAGAAAAAGCAGCACAGAAAGGAAGCTGATGCTTGGGTGAAGTAAGTAAATGTTCCAATTAGGCTGTCTCCTCTCCTGGATCACATTTCACGCTTCCTACAGCTGCAACCAGAACGAAGGATAAGAATCCAGCATACAAATGCCTAGTTCATTTCCTACAGCAGCATGAATAGGATTAAAATAATCTGGAGAGGAATTAAATGCCTCAACAGTCAGGCTGCAAGAACAGGAGAATAAGACCTCCTCTGTATGTTCCCAGGATCAGTGGAGTGGGGCCAGTAGAAGTGACCCAGGGTTAATGCAGCTCAGACCTGCCTTGGAGGGACTATTTTCTTCCTACTCAAAAAGAGTGGGCCACAAATCCTACATCCTTAGCCATGAACTGTGAAATGTTTGTTCACATCGAATGGCGAGACAAGCCCAGGAACATCAGTGTCACCACTGCAATGTCACCAGCCATATGAGCTGAATTTCCACCTTGCAGATAATGCGTACATGGGCTGCAGGTTTCCCTCTAAAATACTTGTACTCAGAAAGCCCTGCTTGGGGAAATCAAGCCAGTGAGTGAGCTTCAGTGTACAGCTTTGGTTTAACTTGCTATCGAAACAATGCTGTTCAAATAAGACAGTATATTCCACCTATGAAGAAATAAGGGCAGAAATCAATAAGCAATGTAAAAGAAATAGAAGCACAGCAGTGTCATGCCTCTAATTAAATAGAAAAGTAATCTTGAGTGCTTTGGGAAACTCCAGTGCTTTGAGAAGGTGCCCATTTTCCTTGACATTGTTTTGAAAACAATTCTCAAGTTAAATGACAGAAATAAGGAAGAAATTTTAGGGTCATGGCAGAGCCTCACTACAGAGCAAATTCTATCAGACGCAGGTATGGGAAGCTGCATTTTCAGTGATGACCACAGAAAGGCAGGCCATAATTTTGTTACTGATATGTTTGAGTATAATTAAAACCACTGGTTTTAAATGCAACTTTACATTCGAGACACAGACAAGAAACAGGATTTTTTTATATAGTCAAATAGATAAGCACTCACTTAACCAATACATAATCAAGCAATGGGCAAGCACCTAGAAGTAAAAGAGGAAAGAACAAGCAGCCAACATGGATATGTCAAGTATAAATCATGTCTAATTTCCCTCTGTGACAGGGTAGCAGACCTCGTCAATAGAGGAGAAAGAGCAGACATCATCTATCCTGACTTCAGCAAAGCTTTTGACACCATGACATTCAAACACAGCCTATGTGAAACAAGTATCTGGTAGATGCATCATCAGCTGGAAAACTGCACTTGGCGAATGGTTACCAACATCCACTGTCAGAGTAGAATGGAAATTAGCGAGTGATATTACACTGGGGCATTCACCAGCTTCCTTAATGACTTGGTTACCAGAAAGTGTGCACTTATTCAATTTGCAACAGGTACCAAGCTGAAAGAGGCTGGAGTATATCCTTGCTTTTAAAAGGACTTTGTCCAACCGGAGAAATATTCTGGAAAAAGCAAGAGAGCAGCTTCAGTAAAATCATATCCCAGAAGCAAAGTTGCTCTGGGAAAGCGCTAAGAAAAACTGTGGTGATGAGGGGATTCCTTTTCCCCTGCTAATGCCCTCCCTGCAGAACAAATGGGGAAACCAATGTGTATGTGATGCTGAAGTCCTGGCCCTAGTCTTAACAGTAAAACAGCAATTAGCTGTTGTGTTCTGCTGCAGAAGAGGACAGACTTTTACCTTTGGTCCTCAAAATACAGCTTGCAAGTACTTATTAGTCCTTGTACATGAAAGATGCTGTAAGCATTTAAGTAGGTTTTAATTATTAACTATATTAGCTCATCAGCTGGATAATTTACCAGTGATGTAGCACAGCGAAAGCCAGACTATTCAGGGTAATTTTCTGTGACTACTCCTAAGCAGATGAAAAATCTGATAAACTACATAATAAACCAGCAATGGTTTAATATTGGCTCACAAAATTCTCTCACAAAATCCCACTGCCTTACTGGGATGATAAACAATCTCTCCACTGCGGGATGCTTTTAGTGTTGACTGAAGGAAGGGAACTCATGGCACCAAGCTGTCTGTGTTTCCCATGCCTTACCTGAGGGTCTTGCCTCTATAATGTAGCCAGTTGTAGGTTTTTCTCCTGAGTCTCCCTCAGTCCATTGTAGTGTCAGCCCAGAAGCAGATTTTGTCACCAGAATTTCCTGAGGGGAGCCAGGAGACCCTGAAGGATGAAAAAAAGAACAGCAAATGGTGGTGGCATCAGAGACAGATTGCAGTATTAATTTCTTCCATTGATACAGGTGAAAAAAATTGGCTAGCAGTATTGATCAACATATAGGCACCTTGAACCAGCTCAGTGGGTATTGACCTAATTTTTTCCACTAGTTCTAGTACCAGTATCTAGTATCCATAGATCAATGGCTGGGTTTTACAGGTACCTGTGTTAAGAATAGAAGAAAACACTCTCATTTTGACCATTAGCATATCAGCAGGGGTTGCACACTGCCACTGATATTTCTGCCTTTAGAGGTGAACCCAGCCTCCAAGTTTCAGGGAGAGGTTTGTGAGGACAGCTGCCTGCCTATTCACTTGGGAAGATGCCATGGCCACATTGAAGAGGATTCCCACTTTATACTATCTGTGGTGGGGCATGAGAGTTCAACTGTGGATCCACAGTGCTGCTGTCCTAGATCATGGCTATGGAGGGTACTGTGATAAAACGGAATCTTGCTTGCACCCAGAAAGGTGGAACTGCCACATGTGGCTCTCATGGAGGAAGCAAATGCTTCCCTGAGCTGGAAAATCAGAACTGTGACCATTGCACTGATGCTTTGTGATTTACTGGACAGGCTGGTATCACTGGAGGGCATCTACCTTGTTAGATTATCTGCTTATCAAAATCACCGACCAAATAAGAAAGCCAACTCTTTCATACAGACATTGAGCCAAGAGGGGAATGTTGCTGTTCTCTTGACATCTCAGGAAATTTGCAGACTTCTCTATCTGCATAAGCCAGAGTCAGGAAAGAATAATTGTAAATTCTTTTTGGCTTTGTATCCAGGAACCTCTGCTGGTTTCAGTTATTCCAGTTTGACTCCACCACAGAGCAGTACAGTCAGAATTATGCACTGTGCTGTCAGGCTGCAGCTTAGAAATCCCTGGCTAGCCCATTTGCATTATGATTTATTCACACTGTTTTGTTTATTCACATAAGACTTCTTGATTTCAGGAAAAAGGGAAGCATGTTTTTTATGGGCAGTTGCAAAACCCACTGAATCATGTCCTGAGCTCCTGTGACTCAACTTCTCCTTGGCTTGGAAATTTATGTGAAACCCTGATTGCACTATTCCCCACTGTTGGACCATCTTTGTATAACTGATGCTTTTATTGTTCCACTTACCTTCTGCTGGCCCAGCTGTAATGTTGGCTTGCAGCTCAGGTCCATAGGCGATGGTTCGGGCTTGCACTTTGAATAAATAGGTCATACCTTTGGTGAGATCTCGGACCTTCAACCAGCGTTGCCAGTTCCCTTTTATGTCCACAGTCACCACCTTACTTACTCCTGGAACAGTCACACAGATAAAAAACATAAGAGAAGGTTGCAAGGCAAAAAAATGAAATCAAGTGGAGTTTATTACATCTAGATGGTAAGTAAAATTATCTAACAGTTCGCTAAGAAAGTATTTCTTACAATTAGCAGGAGTTTAAGTAGTGATAATAGCCAATTTTCAGCACTGATAAGTATAATTAGAGTTTAAGCTTGATAAGTGGGTACTGACAAGAAAAAAACCTTACAACACAACTGGGAAATTACCAAGAGACTACATGCAACTTCACTAATTACTCTGGGAAGAAAGGAGGAGGTAAATGAAGAGGACTGCATGTCGTAGATAGCTTCCTAAGCAAGCAGTTCTCCACTGTTTCTTTGCCAAGTAACCTGCGACATTGCCTGAAGGAGGAAACAAGGGCCAGTTTTTTTTTTTCCATCCAACTCATCCTGTCATTTCCACCATTGCCAACTGAATGCAAAATGAAAGATGTGTATCTCACAGGTAACTTGTGGGTGTGAATGCTACTGCAATAGAGGATGCAATCAAAGCACTATTAGCTTGGACAAGCCTGAAGTCCTGACTTCAGGGTGTTTCCCTCTTCTCACTCTCCAAGAAGTTTCCTTACAGGGATGAACTAAAATCAGTGCTGTTTCCTTTATCAAAGTTCATAGCTAGTTTCACACTTAGGTTCTGAATGCTACATAAAGGGCAGAGTGGAAATGAGTGCTTTGAAAACACTGAGATTTTCTAAAAGTCAGTCAATGGAAAGAATTTGATTTATAAAATCAAATGAACAGAACAGAAAGTTTGATTTCACAGAGTCCTTTTGGCACTTTTTCTAGTTCTGCAGATGTACAGAACACATTGCAAACCAAGATGATGGGAAAGGGAGAACTTTTTTCGCACTGACAGACAAAGAAGTCTGCTTGCTAGTTTATCTTTCCAGAAAAATGCACAAGGAAGGTATTTCTCAATCCAGATGCCTGTTTTATGCAAATTGAAACAATAAGTTCAGTTTTATTGGTTAAATAAAGAATAATGTCCAAGCAATTTCTGCTCAAAGTTTTCTCCCAGATACCATTTATAACTCAGGGAATCTTTCCTTGGATAACAAGGAAGCAGTAAAAGTGCTCCCTCCTTCCCTAGGTGTACGATTTCGTTTCTCTAAGACAAATCAGGAAGCATTTGTCATTTTGAAGTTATGTTCTCCCCAAAAAAGGAACTGTTAAAAAAGGCTCCAGGGCAATTTTGTTGTCTATTATTGTGTAAAACATAAAGCTGTAAAGCTTAAACAATAAAAGGTCAACCAGGGAGAAGGCTGTGCTAAAGAACAGATCCCTCTTAGAAAGTTGTGCAAAATGAGCAGCTTTTAAGCAGTGGCTTCTGAACGGGAGGACAGGAGATGTCACAGTGAGGACACTCAGCTGAATATAATGAATGGGTGTGAAGTCAAAAGATGCAGAAAAAAAGCTCCAGGGGGGTCTGGTCCATCCATGTTACTGCACTGTAGTGTTGGCACAGAGGAATGTAAGACTTGGGGCTGCAAGGACCCTCTGGGATCATGGGGTCTGCATGATCTACCTACAGTCAGCACCACTACATGCTCTATCTTCAAATGAGCTTGGCTCTACCTTGTTCTCTAAATAAAGGAGTATGGCTTTGCTACAGGAGGAAAATGATGGCATCAAGGGAGGGATTTCTTACCATGGTCAGAGAATAAATATCTTTGCTGAAAGAAAAATGTTGGCACAAAAGCAAATGGATAGAAACTGGGAAATAAATTTAGGCAAAAATTCAGAATCTGAGGCAAAGCCCTCCATAATATCCTTGCTTACATCAGAAATTTCTACAGGGGAAGGAAAGACAAACTAGAGATGGAGATAGTATAGGCAGAAGTGGGGGAAAGAAGAAAAGAAAACAAAGGTTCTGAGGATGTTAAGTCAAATACATACAGAGAAAACATGATCTGACACTTCCACATTTTCAGGGGAGAAAATGTATTTTTAAACATTGTGTAGAAATGAATAAAAGGCAGGAAATGCCCAAACATCCTGAACCTCCTGTATACTCTGTATACATTTCTTGCTCAGAATTAGAAAAGCTTTCTGCATTAGTTCTTTGTGCTCAGACCTGCCAGCCATAAAGGCTGAAAGTGCTTTTATTCTTGTATTTTCATTCCTGAATATAACTTTCTCAGTGCATGAGACATGGATATTTAGACAATATAGATCTTTATTCCTTACAGAAGAAGCAAATACAAGTGATTGATATCCTTATTTCTTTGGAAAAGATTTTAAAATGGCTTGGCAATGGCTGAAATCACTCTGCCTGCTGCCACACTGCCAAAGTCAGACATCCTATTGAACTACTGGCAATCTACCAGGAATATACAAATATTAATAAGACCATCCACAAACTTTTGCAATCTTTTCTAATTCTCCTTCGGAATGAATTTACATTTGTTTTCAGAGAAATTGCCAAATCTTTCTCTGTTGTTTTTCTGGCAAATTAATGAAACATTTGTGGGCACAACATTGTTGTGGTCTAGCTTAAATCTAGTGCTGGGGTAAAAATGCTGCTTGAAAACTCCATGTAAATAGACACAACTAAATCTCTCACACAATTATTCTACCCTGTCAAAAGCAGCAGAGGTACCAGTGATGACTAGCACATTTGATGCCCCGGCAATCTTTGTGATAACAGAAGTGACACATGATGTGATAAGCAAGGCAAATGTGTCTGACTGATTATTCTGGGATGGAGCCTAGTCAGCAATTTCAAAGTGCAACACAGGGAGACAATCAGGCACTCTCAGGCTGAGTTTCTCCTTTGCCCACACCAGGTAACGATGGCTGTAAAATGACTTTTCAAATCACATAGAATATAGTTTGTGCAAGAAAATGAGAGGGGGCAGAAAAATACCTATAATCCACAATATTACAGTTTGCTGAACAGTTTTGGTCAAAGTGGAATTGTTTTACTTGCCCTCTGCCACCTGGCTTCCCTTGGAAAATGACAGAGAGTAAGTAGGAAATTGGGCAGAGATAAAAGCTACTACAGTACTTTTCTGTCATTTCCCCATGAATATGTATGATCAGAGGTCTGTCTTACCCTGGATGGGAGCCAAGGGCTCATAGACTACTCGATAACCCTGCAGGACTCCATTTGCTGCTGTCGGCTCGCCCCAGGACACATTGAGTGTCGTGCAAGTGATCTCCGAGAACGTCAAGAAGCTGGGAGCACTGGGTGCTGAAAGGATGACAAACAGAAATGAACTCCAGTAGAAATAGTTAATCTGATATATATAATAAAACATTGGTTTATTTGCCCAGCCTAAATCTAAAGGAAACAAGTTAAAAATGGGATTTTTCAATTGTATTCCAATGTCTGGTAATCAATTAGAAAGCCAGGTGTCCTAAAAACACCCAGCAGTCAGCTGCAAAGCTGAATCTCAAAAGCAAGCAAGAAGATAGGACACAGAAGGGAATGATCCTCAGAAGGGTGCTGTGTGAGCATACAATCCAAGTGTACACCCCCACTGCCACCAACAAGGGCACTACCTTCATCCTCTGCTAGAACACTCCCACCACGGAACCAACACAGAACCATCACATCCAGCACAGAACCCAGTTCAACTAGGTGGCTGCTGAGCCAGCTTTAAAAAAGGAGGAATGACAAAATGCACAACAATTCTCTCACAGGACTGCCTGGGCAATTTCCAGGCACTGGAGATGAGTTCCTTTATATTTTCAGGTGTGATGGCAGAGGCCAGAAACAGACCCATAGATGCTTTCTGGACCAGCTTGTGAAGAGACTGGTCCTTCTGGAGGTCCATTTATTTCCTCTGCATCACTCCCTTTCCCCCATGGTCCACATATTTGATCCTTTTTAACCCTCCATGACCACTGCAGAGCAATGACGCATCTGAAAGCTAAATCTGAACACCAGTGCCCTCCTGCATCCACCCATGTCCTCAGCCATTGCCCAGTTACATGCTGGTCACCACCAAGGCTGTGCTTTGAGACAAAACAATGATCCCATACCCGCCTGGTGTGTCCTGCCCTGTGAGGGGCTGCTTCTGGGGCCATCCCCGGCTGCGTTGAACGCGGAGATGCAGACCATGTACCGCGTGTGGCTGGTCAGGTTCTTGAGCCGGACAGTTGTCTCCGGAAGGAAAAGGACCTTCACTTTCTCTGTGTCATTCTGGGTGTCGCTCTCCCAGTAATAAATCTGTTGGAACACAGAGATGTTTCAGTATATCCTACATGTAGAAAATATCTGGGCACTGCAGCTATAAAAGATGAGGAAGATGGCACAGTCTTGCTCTGGACTCCTACACTAAATGGGATCCTAACACTTTTCACCATCTTCCCAGTCTTTTCTCTTCCTTTGGCAAATTCCTAGCATCAAAGTGGTCCAGTGACCACATAGCTGAGTACATCACTCAAATATAGAGCACAGGCTGAAGAATGTGCCCTAAAGACAGCAGATATGAGCTGCCAGAGCTCAGCATGAGAGGGCAGTTTTTAAATTCTCCCTGAAAAGCTATCTGCTTGTCAGCACTGGCATCCTGCTATGATGGTCCATAATTCACCTTTGTATGCACACAATGGTTTCACCATTTGTGGTCACGGACAGCCAAGCAAATGTCTTCTTGACAAGGGTAATAAAGATTTTCCTTAAAGTTTCTTGAGGTACTTTTTCCCATTCTTCACTTACGTAATTTTTATCCTGATGCCATAAAATTAGGCTTTGGAGAAATTGTTTCCAAGAGGAAAAATGGTGCCAGCCCTACTTATTGGACAGGCCTGGCAGCGAGAGCATTACAACAGGCCAAAGCAAGCCAGAAAGTTGCGAGAATGAGCCAAGGCAAGACTCCTCCTTGGCTCTACAAGCCAGGCTGTTAGAGCTCTCTATATGTACAAAAGGAAAAGAACATGAATTGATATATAAGGATGCTTGCTACTGCCAAGAAGGGATGCCAGATTATTCACACTGGCTTGGTTTTTCTTTGCTTATGGACCTAAATTCATGGAGAGAGGCAGAGCCAGACAATGAACCAAAGCCAAGCTCAAGTGTTTGTAGACTTGCCCATTTCCACTCTCTGAGGGTCCATTCTCATGCTGGAGAAGCTGAACAACATGCCTCTGAAACATGCTCATCTCCTATGAACCAAATGCAATTAATACTATGATTTAATTTTATTAAAGTTAAGGAAATGAAATCATTCTTCCGAAATCTGACCTGGCTCGGGCTTCTAGCTTAGAGAAAGTTCTGCTTTTCCTAATGGCTTGTAACAGTTAATTTTCTTCAATACATTTCTTGCCCCTAGCTCTCATGTCTGTTGCTTTTTGGAGCAGATATGTTGCCTGCATAAGTAAAGCTGCCTCCTTATCTGCATACCCTGTTTCCCCATGCTCTCCTTCTCCACAAAAAGCAACATACTTCTTTTCTCTCCCCCTCATTCTCTTTCTTTTTGTTTTGGGACTCAGTGCCATTTCTGTACTGCAATCTGAATGCTGTTTTAATTTGCCTTATGCAGTGAGGGCAACTGTGAGATAGCTCTACGAACTACAAGTAATAGCAACGTCAAGCAAGATAAATGAAACCAGGAGAAATGGGAGATTGCCTTGTAGCCTTGGATGTTCCCATTCTGGCTGTCAGCCGGAGGTGGGTCCCAGGTGAGCTCCAACTGGCTTGCAGAAAGGGAGTTTATTTGGATGTTCTGCGGGGCCAGTGCTGGTGCTAGAGAGAAAGGAGGACAAAAGAATTAGCAGTGACAAGCAAAACTAGTTCATATTCAGGATGCAATTTCCCGTTTGCAGGATTCAGGATGGGCTCTGTTTATGCCACAAGTCAGCTAAGAGAGTCAGCCCTGGAGGAATCTATCACAGGGAAGTCTCAGCACACGTGGACTGAGGAGCAGCCAAGCCTCCAGAGGTGGTTGCTCCCACACAGGCTGGGTTAGACATTGAACTAACTTGATCCTGCCAGCAGCTTTGAAAAAGAAATGAGAATTTCGTCTTCATTCTATCATTCTGGGTTTGCCTTGGGCAGTGATGCTGGGAGCGACTGGGAGCAAGGCAGCTCCCCGCCACCATTAGCTTGGCCACCCTCTCAACAGCAAGTCTTTATAACAGCCTCTTTGCAAGGGTCCAAGACTTAGGGCCAAAATACTGTCCAAAATTACCTCCCAAACCAGTCAGATGCTAAGCAATTCAATTAATATTTTATGTAATGACAAAACGACTTTTAGTTGTTACTCGCTAGCTCTTTTTCGATTATACCTTCACATACACACACTGGTCCTCTTTGGCTCCTGATGATATTTCTTCCTTGCATTGTGCTATGCCAGAAAACTAATCTTAGAGTGCACCTGGGTCACACCATCCTTCCCTTTGTCAGGATGCAGCTTGGTGCAGGTGGATTTTCTTCCCCAGCGGCTAGCAAGGACAGTCTGTTCTCCCGACCTGCTGTCTCTGCCTCGGGCAGGTCTCAACAAAACAGCACATGTTCTGTTTACAGAAAAGGTGCTGAAGCATGTCCTGTTCAAATTCCCGAAGTAGGGAAAGAAAGGCAGGGCGAAGGGTACACTTCTGTATGTTCACAGTGCCACAGCCTTCACCCTGAGCACCTGAGAGAGCTCTTCTTTTCTCTGCCCCTTTATGGGCCATAAATAGAAGTGTTAAAACATTCACCGCTCGAGTTAGCTCCCCATACCCGTTCCTCTGGAGACTTCTTTCTTTAGAGAGAATGACCTTCATAAGTCACACTTTTCTACCAATACTCCCTCCCCCCGAGTTATAAAATAAAATAGTAATTAACACCCACTCAGCCTGACACCAACTATTTATTTTGTTCTAACTGTGTGGTTTCCATATTATCACTGCCCACCCTGCCGTTAATGGAAATGTTAATAACCAGCGCCAGGTTGTTGTGACAGATGCTTGGGCTCATTATCAGAAATTCTTATTTACCGCTCCATTAAACGACAGAATTGCACAAAAAACAATTCAATCAAAACTAACTGGAGGAATTTTAACAGCCACATTAATAATCCCAAACATAAATAAAGTTAATGTCTTTTGCATGTTTGCCATCGGCAACTCAATTGCAAAATTATTGCTGTACAATTAAAACGTGAACAGCAAAATTGAAAATAGCCTTTATTGCGGGGCTCAGTTAAAACTGTTTGTTTATAATATTTTTTGTTGTTTCTTTTTCAGCTGCACATAGTGAGTGCACAAGGTGACAGTGACCACCAGTAAAATACAGCTTGTTCAGAGGGGTGCACTCGTTTAATTGTGGCTCTGTCTTCTGGGCTTCATGGTGGAGCGCAGGAAGTTCAGGGCAACAGTACTGCTGTCAAAGACCAAAAAGCTCAAGATTTTGAGACTTCCACAGCATACAACAGAGTGTGAGGCCAAGCTGGTCACACAGTACAAGCCTGAAAATGCGTCGTGGAGATTTGCAGATGATGACATGCTCAGGGAAACAGGAATATGTGCAATCGCGGAAGAAAATGGACCACTTTAACAACGTATTTTCTTTCGTGGTAGTGACACTACTGCCTGTCCTCAGCTGACAGCTTCAAAGTGCTCTCAATACCCAGGTCTAAAGCAGCATCTTTAACAGTGTTTTTCTTTGGATCCCCTGCGTCAGCCTGCAACAGTTGCTGCTTCTGAGATGTGACCATTAGAAGAGTCAGCGTGTGCGACCTGCTGCCAGAAAAACACCATGTTTCCTCAACCCCTTTTTGGAGCACATCTAAGAAACACAATGGTTAAAACCTGCCAGTGATCACTCTGCAGTGACACACTCACTGCTGGAGCTGCACTTTTGCTGGCACAGCGGCAGACAATTTGATGGGAAGGAAAGAAAAAAGAGGCTGATGTTGAAAACGACATTTCTTTTCACTACCCCAGATCCGCCATGAGATGTAAATTGTTTGGTTTTGTGCCATGTGTGTCTGTCCCTCTGCTCAACTTTCAAAGGCTGATATGTACCTCCTCTTCTAAGCACAGATTTCTTGCTGACAGAAGGACAGCAGAACAGTGCTGCTGCTGCTCGATGTGGCTCTGTGCAGACAGCACATTACATTAAGGGTGAAATGAAATACTTTAAAAAGAAGAAAACACACCCCTAAGGCCTCTGCCTGTTTGAAACCCCAAACCATTCACTGTATGTATGGACAGCCTGTGCCAATAAAAAGCAACTGCATTTTAAAGGTGAATTCAAAAGCCTATTACCTTCTAGGAATGCAGTTCAAGATTACTCAGCTCTGAGTTTTTTCATGACTGTTGAAAGCATGAATACATAAAAATCAAGATTAAAGCTAACCTCACATGGCTTTAGCTGTTAGTGACATTATCAACTATAGCAGGAGTGACACAGACCCCTGAGGGTCCAAACTCAGTCCTTGGCAGGTGGAAAGCATTTCATCTTCCATGAAAAACAAAAAGTATGTATCCATGAAGTCTAATTCTGTGCACGTATCCTGCCTTGGAATTTCATGCAGATACTTGTCTGATTCCAGTTCACCTTTGAGACTGTCTCCTTGAAACACTTTCTCAGCCAAAACCATAAGGAGAAAGGCTGAGCAGGTTGTATAGTAATTTGGAAAAAAAATAACAATAACTATGGACTGGGATGAGATTGGCAGAATCAAGTAAAAACAACTCTATTGGGAAATGCAGTGAGTGTCAAAATGAGCCCATAAATAAAGTTATACATCTAAATTCACATTTAAACATATCACTGCCCCCATTTTCCAGTCGTGCTGAACAGCCTCTGCTCACACTGCAGTCAATTTGAGCTTGCAAATGCTTATAACCTTTAAAGAGAAGGTGCTTAAAATCCCCAGTGGCCTGCCTGTGACAGAGCTCTGTGCATTGCAGAAGGTTCACCTTACTTTTTCTCACTGCTTCCTTGGGATATTTGCTCTCTGTGTCACCCAGAGCTTTTTATCAATACAAAACTACTATTCCTTTTCTCAGTGACAGTTGCCACGATGCTCTGTAGCACAGGTAGGCTACAAATCCTTGTGATTCATTTGGTATACTCGGTAACTGTTTTTATGAAGCACTCCTTGCTGCTCTTACATCTGCTGCAATTGCCAGCTAGGAAAAGATTTCTCCTCTACTGATTTTCTAATTGCTTCTGTAATGCCAGTATTATGTCAGGAAATTCACAGACAAGACTGGGACAAGGTTCCCTGACACTCATGCCATTTAAATAAACATGCAGGCGAAAAAAAAATGAGGAGAAAAATGCAGTGAAAAAGAGACTGAAGATTTTCTGTGCATCAGCTTGATGCCACAGTTCCCAACAATCCCAAGCAAGTTTCAGTTTTGTAAAGGCCTCTGATCCTTTTCCGTCTAGCAAGCACTTCCTCCTTAGTTTATCAAAGCATGCCTTTGTGAACATGCCTGCTTTTATTCCCCAGTAATCAATATATTTGCATTTTGGTGTTAGCACCTAGAGGCCAGAATCTCACTGCGAAATGTGTTGCATAAACACAGAACAAAGACACAGCTCCAGGCCTAAAAAGCTTCTAATCTGTATGTCTACACATTATAATGGAGGGGTGGTTCTGACATCCCAGCTGTAATCTTATCTACCTAGTAACAACAGAAGAGAGAAGACACAGCAATAATATTCAGTTTAGCATGTGCTGACAAATCTTGCATACGCAGCACCTCTGAAGTTTACACACTGACTCCTGGCACACACAGTCATGGAAAACAGAGGTGGAAAGCCTTTGGAAAGGGCTCAGACATCCATCCTCCTGTGTCACACCGGGATCAGCTCTGCTGCTCAGATGTTGGTGTAAGCTCCATCTATGACCTCTCCCCGGATTCCCCGGCCACCTCCACACAGATTCTGCCAGCATTCCCCTATTTTAATAACTCTTAAAATAACCCTCATATTATTGTTTTTCAAATGTCTAGCCTATCCTATCCTCATCTTATTGAACTTATGTCCCCAGTGGCATGGAGAACAGATTGTTTCTTCTCCCGCTGCAGCCACTGCCCTCAAGTTATGGAGTAGGCAAGCAACAGTTAAGTGGATTTTAAAAGCCAAACACAACATAACAAACAGAAGGACACAAGATAAAACAGCAAGACTTGATCTGCAGAATGGGCAAAGCAAAACGCAAGGGGCTTTAGAGAAGGAATGCAAAGATGATACCTCCCAGGAAAGAACAAAAAGGTGCATCTGCAGATGTTCGCAGTCACTCCTTCCACGATGGAAAAGCAGCATGAGAGAAACATGTTCAGTGTTTATTGGCCATTTTCTTGCAGTGGCTGGGAAAGAGAGGTGGGAGTGAGGCACACTTCCCCTGTGCAGCAGTACCTCTGCCATAAGGAATGCTGCGTGAGCGATGCTGATTAGTTCAATAACAATTAGTTAATTGTGCTTTAGAAACGGCTACTGCGAAGCAGCTTTCCGCTGTGACAAAGCAGCACAAGCTATCTTTAGAATGTTTCCCACCATTTTCTGGCTGGTTTAGGCTAGGATATGTTTTGTGATGGAAGTATGTGCTTTTTCCAAAGACTGCACTTTCTGGGGTTACTTTATATTTCAGAGGCAGTAAGACAAGCAGAGACACATATAAAGGATCTTAACTCCCTCGACACAACTCCATTTGCTAATATTAGACTCGAGTGCTCCTACCCTCATATTCAGGCATGACAGTTTGGCACCAAAACCTGGTGTTATTAGCTTACATAATTATTAACCCAGTTACTAACTTTGCCAGCCCTGTGTTACCCCCTGTGACCTGAAATGAGTCTCAGGAAAGGAGCGATGTGGTCTCCCCCACCTTCTACTGGGTGGGGAGGAGGTTAAAGCAGCTGGAAAAGCCAGGTTTTAGTAGGAAATAACCCTTTTTTGGGGATGTTGATAGATGTGTTGATTTACATGATTGTAAGAGAAACTGAAACATTTCCTAGGGTACAAGAGACCAATGGAAGTCAATACAAGACTAACTGGAACAACATCTTTCTCACCGTCACGAACACTCATGAAGAGGGAACACAAGCTAACCAATGCAAAACAGAAAGACAAACAGGCAAACCTACCTTGGTGGACAAGAAGGGGTGGAGAGGAGGAAAATATCTGGATGGAAAATTTGGGAGTCTAGCACACCCACAATTGCTTTACTCTGTGCCATATTACTTGGGTAGGCAAACACTTGGTCCCCTCCCTGTATGCTGCACTTGGTAATCTAGCTGCGTTCTGACACATCAAAATCTTAAGGGTACTGAAGTCATGAAAAAGCATAAATAAAAGCAGCTGCAAATGATACCCAAATGTAACATCCCCAGCTTCTCTGCTTAGTACTGGGAAGCTTCCCAATATTGGCTAGGCCTGTCTTCAGCATCTGCAGAGACATGAAAAGGATGTGGGGGTGGAGGGAGAAAGTAGGGAGAGATGACATTAACCACACATAATGGAAAACACTGCAATGAAACAAGGTCTAGAAATGGAGTATCCTTTCCATGGACACAGACTCCATGGAGTGGAGCCATTTTTTTGAACTGAGAAGGCTCAGGAAACCTCCATGGATATGACTTATTCATGAAGAACCTTCATAAACTGGCAAGTGACTGAAGTAGAAGTAACTCGCATCCTAAACCTCACTCTCTCTTCCAGCGGTGGTGAAATCACAGTTGCTGTGATTGCTAATCTTTTAATGTGGGGTTCAGATTTTCCAATTCATGTGCAATCCAGGATTTTCAGGGGACAGACATGATCTGAAGTTACTGTGACTGCATAAGAAGTTACTGTGACTGCATTACCATGCCTACAAAGGAAGCAAATCTCATGGAGCAGTACTGTGAAACAGTTACAGCCTTCAAGCAAAACCTACACACTTTTCTTTTGCTGAAGCTCACAGTTCTACTTAGCTAATATAAACCTAAAATAGGCTATCACATTGCATACTGAAATTATCCATCAAGGGACTGAGAGCTGTTGGCCCTAAAGTAAAGCCCTTACAGAACTGTCAGATTGCCTCTGGAAACAGCATACAGGTGGCTAAATCAGGAAGGGGATAAATAATATAAGGAGTTTTTTCCTCTTTTTCTTTTGTGTCAACAAGGATACGATCACACACAGGGAGGCAGCCCATCAGTCAGCAGAGATGGCCCCATGAGCAGGAACAGCAAGAGTCTGACAAGCATTAGTATGCACAAACAAACACACAGGCATAAACCTACAAGCTAAAATCCCCTTTCACTTACATAAATGCAAACGAGGGTTAGGTCTGCTAAAGCTAGTAGACCTAAGCCAGTGTGTAAGTGAGAGCAAGGGTCAGCTCTGATGAATGCAGGATTCACCCACCATGATGTATTGAAGATTGTTCAAGGGTGAAAGGGATGGTGAAGAACTGCTGAGTGTTTGATACTCTGGCCTGATCTTCTCTCGGGAGCACTGGAAGGAGCAGGAGCAGCAGGTGGGAACATTCTGCTCTCAACTCTCTTAGAAATATCTAGCCATTAGGCAAAGGCAGAATTACCTACCTACTTCAGACTATCTCCCCAGGCTCTCTGGTTCTCAAGACTCCTCCTCCTCCATTTATAGCCATGTCCCACTCATAATCATTTATTAATCCCACACTCTAATATCACAATACCACAAGACAGCAAACAAAAGCACCCACTTAATGTTCAACCGTAATGGTAGCACCTACTAAAGCCTTAAAAGCACCAAGAACTCCTTATGCTGCACTAAAGCCAAGAGAGCACACAGAATAATTAGGGTGAATCTCCACTGGGTTTGCCACAGACCAAATGTTAAAAGCCATATTAGAAAAAAGTCCAACTGAGCAGGTGAGATCTGCCACTGTGAGAACCTTTTGCTGTGGCTTTAATGCAAGTTTGGGTAGCTCACCCCCATGAGGGATTCATTTAGGATTTACAGATTGCAATGGGGAACCCATGGAGGGCTGTGATCTTCTGCTTCTGAGAGAGATTTCATTTACATTTTCTCAACTCTGAGTGAGAGTTTTCTCTTTCTTGGTTTATTTTGCAGACATAGCAACCCTGAGTTGAAAACAGTGGTCCCATACCCGCCCAACATCATCTCAGTGTCCAAATTGCTGCAGCCAAAATATTTTAGGATATTGCTAATTCATTCTTTCATTACAACAAAAGGCAACTGTCTACAACAGAATCATAAAATCATACAACTGTTAGGGTTGGAAAGGACCTGAAGATCACCCAGTTCCAACCCCCATGGCATGGGCAGGGACACCTCACACTAAACCACAGCACCCAAGGCTCTGTCCAGCTGGCCTTGAATGGAGGGATGGAGCATTCACAACCTCCCTGGGCAATCCATTCCAGTGCCTCACCACCCTTACAGTAAAGAACTTCCTCCTTATATCCAATCTAAACTTCCCCTGTTGAAGTTTTAACCCGTTACCCCTTGTCCTGTCACTACAGTCCCTAATGAAGAGTCCCTCTCCAGCATCCCTACAGGCCCCCTTCAGATACTGGAAGGCTGCTATGAGTTCTCCACACAGCTTCTCTTCTCCAGGACAAACAGCCCCAACTTTCTTAGCCTGTTCACAAAAAAAAAAAAAAAAAAAAAAGAAAAAAAAATAGAAAAACAGAAAAAAATGGACAAGCTGAAAGTTGCCAGTTCCATGACTGACGACAGACACAGCAAACAGATGTCAGAAAAGAAAACCAACTGTGTTTTCTCTACAGCTGGCTTCACAGCAAAGCTGTACAGAGGAGGCAAAGCCACAGGAGTTGAGACCCATATGAAAATATGATGTTTTGCTCACATGTCACAGGATGACTGAAACCAAGCAGAGCAGGGCTGCACAATTAGAGGCAATAGAAATTTGGCTGCAAATATAACCCTTTAGTCAAAAATACTCAAGCTCCAGCCTGCGTGTCCTTGAATATGAGTTATCAGCCAGGGGCTTCCCTACTTCTTTACCAGTGCAATTTATGGTTTGTCTTACTTTACTACTGATTACTCATATATTTGAAAGGAAGGTTAATTCCTTTGCTTTTAATGGAGTAGGTCTGCTGTTAGTTCAATACAGCTTTGCATACATGATTAGGCTTCTCCTTCCTCCACCCTCTGTGCACTGTGCAGGGATGTCCCTGCACTCAGTTCTTCACAGGCTATATAACACTGCAGCAGAACAGCTAATTTGTCCTACCGCTCCCACTGCTGCTTGCACCTACTACAGAACAAACACAGGAGTCCTGATGATGAATTTGAGTGCAGAAAAACTGTCTGTCTGTCTTGGGTTACAGTCAGTACTAACAATTGACATCAAATTGTTGGCTTTGCGAGATGGAAGTTCATCACCTGAGCAAAACGTTGCATGGCAATTGCAGCCTAATGCCACCCTCACCAGCAATAGCAGTGACAGAGATATAAGCACATGCAG